TAATAACAAGCAACAGCAGGTACTGCAGGCGGGCTAACTCTTGTTGGTTACCCCCTCCATCTCCTCACCCTCCTCCTTCCCCTCCCCCACACTGCTGCAGGAGCAGCAGAGAAGGGGGGAAGAGAGGAGAGGTGGAGGGACGGCTGCTGGTTGCCTCACACCCGCCACCCCGGTGCCACTCCCCCTTCTCCCCCACACCCTCACACCCTCCCCCCCAGCGGCAGCTGCAGCAGTGGGAACGAAAGGAGGAGCAGGGGAAGGGAAGGAAACGACCCAAAGCTCCAACACCCGCCACCCCCATACCCTCCACCCCACGGCTGCAGGGAGACAAAGGAGGAGGGGGTGGGCGGGAAGAAAGCCACAGAGCGGCTACACTGTGTCGGGGCAGGTAGGTCAGGGGCGGCTGCAGGGAGAGCCGGTGCGGAGAGGCCCGTCGCGTGCCACGGGGCGCACGACGGGTAAGTTTAAGTTTAAGGGCACCGTTGTGTGCCTCGGGGCGCACGACGAGCAGGGCACCGTCGCGTGCCACGGGGCGCACGACGGGCAGGTTTAGGGCACCGTCGCGTGCCACGGGGCGCGCGACGGGCAGATAAGGAGTCACACGCCAACCGGGGGCGGGACAAGGGAAAATCGCCACGCACTCTAGGCGCGCGACCGGAAAAAAAGTAGCAGCGGAAGCATGAGGCGGGCCCACAGGCCAGGACGAAACGCGCTCTAATAGCATGTCAAAATCCTAGCTCGGTAGGTGAGTAAAAGTGTAGGACGGCCTAGGCTTAGTAGCCAAGGCCAACGAGATCGAGTGGATCGTGCCAAGGGTGAGTATCGAGTAAGTTGAGAAGAATGGGTTTCACTATAGGTTTCAAGGAACATATAGCGAAGGAAAGCAAATGGAATTGGTGCACCACCTACAAAGCACAATAACTACACTACAACTACAAGCAGTAATAAAATATGTCAAACATATTTCGACAATCCGTGTCGACAATCAAGGCGTCATGTTCATCCTACACAAGGGCGGCTCAAGCACCACCGAGCTCACCCTCACCTGCAAAGAAATCATATCTCTTTTACGGAACACTCGGTTCGCTTGGCGATCGAATGGATCCCTCGCGAGTTGAACACCCATGCGGACCAGCTCTCCAAGCTGCAAGACCATGATGACTACTCTCTGAAACAACCGTGGTTTCGCCTCCTTGAACGACGTTGGGGGCCCCACTCCATCGACCTATTCGCAAACGCTCGCAACACGTTGTTACCCCACTTTTGCTCGAAGGTGCCCCATCCCAAGGCTGAAGCGGTCAACGCATTCTCGACGGATTGGAGGGGAGTGCACGGTTTCGCGTTCCCACCCCCCCACCTCATCCCAGCAACCCTTCGGCACGCGCAACGCACCCACGCAAAGATCACTCTTGTGATTCCATAATGGACAGGGGCTGCTTGGTGGCCCCTTGTGCAGCCATCTCCCAAGACATGGGCCAAGGGGATCACCAGCCACCTAGCACTTGCAAGCGGTAGCCAATGCCTTCACCCAGGCACATACACATCTTCGTTCTCAGGCGCTGGATTTCCAAATAGTCCCATCCTTGCATTGGCTATAAATTTCTCAATGTAATTGCATGCTCTTATTGATGGCAGAACTATTAAACGACCTCCAAAAGCAACTCTTTGGGGTCATCAGCCAAGTGAGGACACCCTCCACCATCCAGACCTATGAACCTTACTGACTCAAGTTCCGAGCCTTCTGCAAGAAGGTTTCGCTGAGCTACCTGCCTACCACGGACCTGACACTCGCGATGTACCTCGTGCACGCCCTCAAGCACAAAGCCACGCTATCTGCTATCACACTAACATGCTCCGCGGTAGCCTTCGCACACAAAATGATTGGGACGGCGTGTCCCACCGACGGCCCCTTCACATCGCAAGTACGCGAGTTCGCCAAGCGCCACGCATCGCGCCCCAACCGGACCAAAGATCCAGTCTCGCCTCACCAGGTCCATAGCATGGCTCAAGAGTTTCTCATATCCCACATCCCATCCGAATTTCAGAAAGGTCTCATTCCGCTCTTGATGTACACTGGGTTCCTACGCTACTCCGACCTGGTCGCGATTCAGTGGCAGGACATTCAGTTCGAGGATACGGCAATGTGGGTTCTAATCCCACACTCCAAAACTGACCAGGAGAGCAAAGGAGTGTGGGTCCCAGTCGCGGCAACAGACGGACCATACTGCCCAGTCCAAACCACCCAGAAATTCATCAAGATTGCCGGCTATGACTCATCAACCGAAGGCCCCCTCATCCAAGTTTTCCCACGTGGCGCAAAGGCAACACCACAAGACAAATCTCCCTCATACCCCACTCTTCGGAAATGGTGTTTGGAAGCCGTCCGCAAGGTCGGGCTCGACGCAAAGCACTTGGGCACCCACTCATTTCGCAAAGGTGCAGCAACGACAGCTGCCGGAGTCGGGATCACGGATCGAATGTTCAAACGTCTAGGCCGCTGGCGCAGCGACACTGCAAAGGAGCTCTACGTCACCATCGCTCAAGACCAGCTCGTTGCAGCATCCCGGCTGATCCAGGACCCCACACGAGCCCCATCCTCCAACCAGCATCAGCTGTCTATCCAGCGACAGCGCCGTCCTCCTCTGCACATGTCTCAGCAGACCCAGATGAAATAAAGCACGATGCCTATTAGAAGTTGCAATAAGCAAGCTTTCACAATATTATAATTTTTGAAAGTGTATTCACTTTCTAAAATTTTGTATTGTGATAGTGAAGCGATTGCCAACGCAGCAAAGGCAGCGTCGCATCGCTACTCGCCCTCTTTTGGCTACAAAAGAGGGGTTGGAGGCCATTTGGCCTCACCCACGTTCTTCTTTTCAGATTTTTAGTTTGAGTTCCCCACCCTCCCACCCTATGTAGTGGAATTGTATGTTGTGGACCTTTGGACGAGATTGATGTACTCTTACCCAGATGAAATGAAGCACGATGCCTATTACAAGTTGCAATAAGCAAGCTTTCACAATTGTCGTTTTATAAGCGCATGCACTGTCAAAATTATATTTATTATAACTGCATGAAGTTCTAGCTGTAGTGTAGTTATTAAATTTGTAGGTGGTGCACCCCTTCATGTGTTCCTTTGCTATATGTATCTCGAATCCTATAGTGAAACCACATTCTCCAATTTTCCTCTCTCAACTCACTCGACTCTCACCCTAGGTGAAAACCCGCTCGATACCTAGTTAAGGGCCTAGGCTACTAAGCCTAGGCCCCTCACCTTTCAACTTAATCTACTTTAAGTTCGACATGTTATCGGAGCTGTTTTCGTCCTGGCCTGTGGGCCCGCGTTACTCTTCCGCTGCTGAGATTTTCCGGTCGCGCGCCTAGGGCGCGTGACGATTTTAGTTTTACTTTGTCCCGCCCACGGGCGTGTGACTCCTACCCTGCCCGTCGCGCGCCCCGTGGCACGCGACGGTGCCCTTTATCTGCCCATCGTGCGCCCCGTGGCACACGATGGTGCCCTGCTCGTCGTGTGCCCCGAGGCACACGATCGGGCCCTTTTATCCTATCCGTCGTGCGCCCCGTGGCACTGGCCCGCGACGGGCCTCTCCGCCCCTGCACTCCCTGCTGCCGCCCCCGACCCATCTGCACCGACGCCTCTTCGCCGCTCTGCGGCTTTCTTCCTTCCCACCCCCCCCTTTCTCTTGTCTCCCTGCAGCCGTGGGGAGGAGGGTATGGGGGTGGAGGGTGTTGGAGCGGTGGGTCAACTCTCTCCCTTCCCCTCCTCCTTCTTTCAGTCCCACCACTGCAGCTGCTGCTGGGGGGGGAGGGTGTGAGGATGTGGGTGAGCAGGGGGAGTGGTACCGGGGTGGCGGGTGTGAGGCAACAAGCAGCCGTCTCTCCACCTCTCCTCTCTTCCCCCTTTCTCTGCTGCTTCTGCAGCAGTGTGGGGGAGGGGAAGGAGGAGGGTGAGGAGATGGAGGGGGTAACCTTTCAAAGTTAGCCCGCCTGCAGTACCTGCTGTTGCTTGTTTTATTGCTCGTTGGTGTACCTCTGCAGGTTGTGCTCGACACTTAGCTATTCCTGCATGCAGTTACGGGGGGATGTCAAAATTATATTTATTATAACTGCATGAAGTTCTAGCTGTAGTGTAGTTATTAAATTTGTAGGTGGTGCACCCCTTCATGTGTTCCTTTGCTATATGTATCTCGAATCCTATAGTGAAACCACATTCTCCAATTTTCCTCTCTCAACTCACTCGACTCTCACCCTAGGTGAAAACCCGCTCGATACCTAGTTAAGGGCCTAGGCTACTAAGCCTAGGCCCCTCACCTTTCAACTTAATCTACTTTAAGTTCGACATGCACTTATTTGCGCACTCAGTTATTTGCGCACCCCCCTAAAAAACACTGATTTATTATACCCGCACATGCGCTTATATCCGGGGTAATACGGTATTGTACAATTTCAATGATTACCAGACAGTCCCCTTTTGCAACAATAAGGGCCTATTCTCTAACATCATGCTTCCAAGAAAGCGTAACTTACTAAAGCGATGCGCGCCACTATAGCTAAGGGCGTTTAACAGGAATTGTCATAATACCGAACCCTAGGCCCTTTTATTAGGAATAGTAACATCCAACCCTTCATACCCGTTGATACCCCTTTCACACCCATCAGAATATCCTAAGGACACAAATGGAATACATCTAGAACACCCGTGATCCTTCTTGATTCTTCCAGTGCTCCGCTCAACTCTTCCCCTCCACTCCTTGGATATTTCCCTACCTCACCAACTCGTACCGGCAAAGGGAAGCTATTCATCCACCCCCCTTCTACATCCCGAAAAAATGCCATTGTGCTCCGTTCCCTGACCTACATTCTAATGCACCCCACCGCCATCCCACTCGCCTTCCGATTGTTTAGAAAAATATTGCAGCAGCCACCTCATGAATGCACTGCCTTCTCGTTTTCTTTCCCCCCTCACTACCACTGCTTGCTTGCTACGCCTCTTTTCCCTCCTCCCCCACATCTATTGCCTCTTTCACCAGCTCATAACCAGCTAAACTCATCGCTCCAAGGGGAACAGCACAGAAGAACCAGCCAGCACCGGTAGAGCTCTGTACTGTCATCCACCAAAGCTGGTTGCTCCTTACTGCCTCCTTGCCTCCTTACTGCCTCCTTGCCTCCCTACTGCCTCCTTGCCTCCTTATTGCCCCCTCCTTGCACCCTGCTCCTCCTGCTCCCTCTCCACTGCGCCTCTTTCCCCTCCTCCCCCACATCATCTATCGCCTGCTTCGCCAGCTCATACCCAGCAAAGTTCATCGCTCCAAGCGGTGCAATCCAGAAGAACCGCGGCAGCCAGCCCTTATACAGCGCCCCCACCCCCTCCGTGGCCAATAGGTTCGCGCCAACTGTCAGCATGCCGGCCGCTGCCGCCCCGGGCGGCGACGTCATCATGCGTGTCTTGATGACGTCGAATGGCGTGATGGCGATCGCTGCCATGCCGCCCGAGAAGCCGCCCAGCAGGAGAGTTTCCCAGGGGGCGAGCTCTCGGCGCAGCACATGGCGAGTGACCTGCGATGGGTGGGTGGGAGGAGGGATAGGGAGAGGGAGAGGAAGTGACAATGATGCCCTTGAAATAAGCCGATTAACGGAGAGCATGAGAAGCCGCCCAGCAGGAGGGTTTCCCAGGGGGCGAGCTCTCGGCGCAGCACATGGCGAGTGACCTGCGATGGATGGGAGGAGAGGGAGAGGGAAGTGACAATGATGCTTCCGAAATCAGCAGAGGGCACAGCCGCCCAGCAGGAGCGTTTCCCAGGGGGCGAGCTCTCGGCGCAGCACATGGCGAGTGACCTGCGATGAGAAGAGTGGGGGAGGGAGAAGGGAGCGACAATGGTCCTTTCAGCTCAAACGACAAGTAGAGAGTGCAAGAAGCCGCCCAGCAGGAGGGTTTCCCAGGGGGCGAGCTCCCGGCGCAGCACATGGCAAGTGACCTGGTATGGAGAGAAAGGGATAGGGAGAAGGGAGCGAGATTGATGCCTTTAAAAAGCCAACTCGCAGAGAGCGAGAGAATCCGCCCAGCAGGAGGGTTTCCCAAGAAGTTCATCCCCTGCGGAGCACATGGCACGTGACCTGGGATGGGAGTGACGAGAGGGAGCAGGGAAAAATAGTGAATACTTTCAAAGTGAAGTCCATCAATCGGCTCTAGAAGGACCGGAGAAGCCACCCAGCAGGAGGGTTTCCCAGGAAGCAAGCTCCCTGCGGAACACATGGCGTGTGACCTGGGAGGGATGGGAGGGGATGGAGTGGAGAGCAACATTGATTGATGCCTTTGAAATCGCCGACTTACGAACAGCACGAGAATCCGCCTAGCAGGAGCGTATATGATGTGAACATCCACTGAACCACCTTTCTTCTTTCTCTATTCAACTCACCCGCTTGACTTGCAGGTACATGAGCATGCCAAACACGTAAAATGGCACTTCTCGGCACTGCGTGGCGGTGGTCCCTCAAAACAGCCCCTTCACCCTCGGGGCAGCCCTCGTCGAGGGTCGTCCTGAGCGCTGCCCCTGGGCTGCTGTACAGACACTCACTTGACCTCTAGCTTTACTCAACTCACTCGCTTGGCTTGCAGGTAGATGAGCATGCCAAACACGTACAAGGGCACTTCTCGGCACAGCGTGGCAGTGGTCCCTCGGAACAGCCCCTTCACGCCTCCCTCCTTGGTCGTCGCCCTGAAAGCCGCCCTTGTGCTGCTGTAAAGGCAACTCCTGGACCACAAAAACTCACCCGCTTGACTTGCAGGTAAATCAGCATCCCAAAAACGTAAAACGGGACCTCCCGGCACAGCGTGGCGGTGGTCCCTCGGAACAGCCCCTTCACCCCGCCCTCTTTGAGCGTCGCCCTGAGCGCCGCTCCTGTGCTGCTGTAGAGCCCTGCCTGCAGCTGCTGCTTCAGCACCTCACAGGGAATGCGGAGAGCTGTGCCCAGCACTGTTGAGCAGAGGGAGGCCACTGGTTGGACCTGAGGGGAGGGGAGGAACGGTGGGGCGCGGAAAGGGGGAAACAAGAAATGGGGGGTGGAGGGAGGGGGGAAGGAGGGAGGAGGAAGGAGGTGGTTTGGGGCATGTGAGTGCAGTCGTGCAGCCCTGCCTGCAGCTGCTGCTTCAGCACCTCACAGGGAATGCGGAGTGCCGTGCCCAGCACTGTGGAGCAGAGGGAGGCCACTGGTTGGACCTGAGGGGAGGGGAGGAACGGTGGGGCGCGGAAAGGGGGAAACAAGAAATGGGGGGTGGAGGGAGGGGGGAAGGAGGGAGGAGGAAGGAGGTGGTTTGGGGCATGTGAGTGCAGTCGTGCAGCCCTGCCTGCAGCTGCTGCTTCAGCACCTCACAGGGAATGCGGAGTGCCGTGCCCAGCACTGTGGAGCAGAGGGAGGCCACTGGTTGGACCTGAGGGGAGGGGAGGAACGGTGGGGCGCGGAAAGGGGGAAACAAGAAATGGGGGGTGGAGGGAGGGGGGAAGGAGGGAGGAGGAAGGAGGTAGTTTGGGGCATGTGAGTGCAGTCGTGCAGCCCTGCCTGCAGCTGCTGCTTCAGCACCTCACAGGGAATGCGGAGTGCCGTGCCCAGCACTGTGGAGCAGAGGGAGGCCACTGGTTGGACCTGAGGGGAGGAGGGGGGGAGGGGAGAAGGGTGGGGAGAGGGAGAAGAGATGGGTGGGGAGAGAGAGAAGAGAGGGGGCAGTCAAGCATGTGTGCGCTGCCGTACAGCCCTGCCTGCAGCTGCTGCTTGGCACGTCGCATGGCATGTCAAGGGACATGCCATGCCATGGATGGAGGTGGAGGGGCACAAGCAAGTGGATGTAAAAGCAGGGAGAGAATCCAAACTGGAACAAGCGGTCAAAAAGTCTCTCAGAAAAGGCCCAGTCTAGCGGATCCAGGGCAGGGTGTTTCCAAGAATTTATAAAGCAATTCAGTGAGACCATACCTGGAACGCGGCGAGGCGTGAAGGGGAGAAGGGTCTGGGGCATTTAGGCCGGAGCCAGCGGTTCTAGAATCAAACCATATATCTGTTGTAATTTGTGAGATTAACTAGAGTTCTTTATATTCTAATATTATTAAACGAGGTGGAGGCTATACTGAGTCAAACCGTACCTGGTACTCTGTGAGGTTCGGCAGCATGCTCGTGAGAAGCATCTTGGAAGCTTCATACGCGCCCGTGCGCACCCCATGGCTCGCAAACTGCCCGAGAATGGCGGGCGGCGCTCCCCGGTACAATCCCTGGATGCCGATGGATGGCACCGATTGCACCACCTCTGAAAGCGAGGCTGAGGAGGCTTGTACCCGCGTCTGGTGGTGAGTGAGGGAAGGAGGGAGTGAGAGGAAGGGCAGCTTGAGAGAGATGGGGCTTGGTCGTCTCACAAACTGCCCCAGGATGGCCGGCGGGGCTCCGCGATACAATCCCTGAGTGCCGATGGATGGCACTGATCGCACCACCTCGGAGAGCGAGGCTGAGGAGGCTTGCACGCGGGTCTGGTGGTGGCAAGGAGGGAGGGAAGGAGGGAGTGAGAGGAAGGGCAGCTTGAGAGAGATGGGGCTTGGTCGTCTCACAAACTGCCCCAGGATGGCCGGCACGGCTCCCCGGTACAATCCCTGTATGCCGATGTAAGGCACGGATCGCACCACCTTTGAAAGGGAGGCTGAAGAGGCTTGCACGCGCGTCTCGCGGTTGTAGTGAAGGAGGGTGGGAGAACCGGGGAGCAAGAAGAAGAAAGGATGGCTTGCAAACTGCCCGAGGATGGCTTGCAAACTGCCCGAGGATGGCTTGCAAACTGCCCAAGGATGGCTTGCAAACTGCCCGAGGATGGCTTGCAAACTGCCCGAGGATGGCTTGCAAACTGCCCGAGGATGGCTTGCAAACTGCCCAAGGATGGCTTGCAAAATGCCCGAGGATGGCTTGCAAACTGCCCGAGGATGGCTTGCAAACTGCCCGAGGATGGCTGGCGGAGCCCCCAGGCACAATCCTTGGATGACGATGGAAGGCACGGATCCCACCACCTCTGAAAGGGAGGCAGGCTTGCACATGCGTCTGGTGGTGGTAGTGAGGGAGGCCGGGAGAAAGTGAGGAGCGAGAACAAGAAAGGATGCCTCGCAAAGTGCCCCAGGATGGTGGGCGGAGCTCCCCGGTACATCCCCTGGATGCCGATGAATGGTGCTGATCTGATGACTTCTGACGAGTCTGGTGGTGAGGGAGGGAGGACGAGCGCGGGTGATAGGTATGGAGCGGTTGGGATGGGTTGGGTGCGCAACGCAGTGCCCCAGTATGGCCGATTGAGCCCCTTGATCAAGTCCTTGGATGCCGATGGATTGAAGTGAACTGAGCTCAGCACCCTTTCTACTGGATGTCAGGGACGCTCACTGGCATTCTTCCTTACACCCACTCCTTATAGTCACACCCACCTTGATGGTGTCCAAGGGGTGCATGAGGCACGTAGACAATCCCGAGGCCAGCCCACTCTCACTGCTTCAAAGTCACGCTCCACTGCTTACCATCACCCACACACACCCACACCCACACCCACACCCACACACACACACACCCACACCCACACACACACCCACACCCACACACACACCCACACCCACACACACACCCACACCCACACACACACCCACACCCACACACACACCCACACCCACACACACACCCACACCCACACCCACACCCACACCCACACACACACCCACACCCACACACACACCCACACACACACCCACACCCACACCCCCATCCACACACACACCCACACCCACACCCACACACACACCCACACCCACACACACACCCACACCCACACCCACACCCACACCCACACCCACACCCACACACACACCCACACCCACACACACACCCACACCCACACACACACCCACACCCACACACACACCCACACACACACCCACACCCACACCCCCATCCACACACACACCCACACCCACACACACACCCACACCCACACCCACACACACACCCACACCCACACACACACCCACACCCACACACACACCCACACCCACACCCCCATCCACACACACACCCACACCCACACACACACCCACACACCCACACCCACACCCACACACACACCCACACCCACACCCACACCCACCTTGATGGTATCCAAGGGGTGCATGAGGCATGTCGACAATCCCGAGGCCAGCCCGCCCGCAAGGGCGGATTTGATCACGCTGCCAGCTGGCGCTGACGTGGCAGCGGGCGGCGCCATTGGGACCATGGTGGCCGCGTCGTACCACACCATGCTGCGTGTGGGGAAGATGAGTGAGAGGGGGGGGGGGGGGTTGGGAGGGTGGGAGGGAGGAGGTAAGCGGGGAGAGGCGAATAGGAGCAGCCATCATGTGTGGTGAGGCATCATGTGTGGTGAGCCATCATGTGTGGTGAGCCATCATGTGTGGTGAGCCATGGGGACCATGGTGGCTGCATCGTACCACTCCATGCTGCGGAGGGGAAGAGGGGGGTAGGAGAAGGGTGGGTGAAGAGGGGAGGAGAGGGAAGAGGGGGGTGTGGGAGGGAGGAGGAGGGTAATGGGGAGAGGAGAATAGGCGCAGCCATCATATGCGGTGCGCCATGGGGTGTGGTGTGGGGGTGTGAGGGGTTGGAGGTGTGGGATTGTGTGGGGGTGGGGATGGGGGGTTGTGTGGGGGTGGGGGGTTGTGTGGGGGTGGGGATGGGGGGTTGTGTGGGGGTGGGGATGGGGGGTTGTGTGGGGGTGGGGGTGGGGGGTTGTGTGGGGGTGTGGGTGGGGGGTTGTGTGGGGGTGGGGGATGGGGGGTTGTGTGGGGAGACGACACACCTTAAACACAAAGCTAAAATGCAGGGAAAAAGTGATGGAGAGCTAAGTTGGAATATACGCATTTAGCGTTTTGTACGCTTGCTGTATAAACGCTAGAGTATATACGCAAACCGCAGTCCCTGAGGGGTCTGGTACGCACAAGAATCCGCTTGCCCGGGCAGGAAAAAGGTTTTCCCCGGGCAGATTTTTGGGGTAAGAGGTGGGGATGGGGGGGTGTTGTAACCCCCATCCCCTTTGTATTAATATGAAAGTTACAGGAAAAAAAAACCCGTAAAACTAATCTGCCGCTACAACTTCACCCACCTTAATCATGCTACTACCCCCCCATCCCCTACTCTACTCAGGTCCACCCTCCATCCCCCGCCTGCCGCTCATGCATGGAGTCTTCCATCCACTAGTACTCATCTGCCATCACATCATCTTCCCCCTCCTCAGGTTCCTCCACCTCCTCCGGGACGTTATAGCCAGCCGGAGTGGGGGGGTCCTCGATGTTTCCCTTCACCACCCCCAGCCCTTCAGGGGCCTTGTGCCAATTGTGCACCACCTGCCAATTGTGCGTCACATACACCAGGTCACGAAGCTTCACCGCGCCGAGACGGTTCCTCCTTGCCGTATGCACTGCATCAAACTTCGCCCAGTTACGCTCACATGGAGACGCGGACACCGGCTGCGTGATGGCACGGCAAGCCATGGTGGTGAGCTCAGGATGATCGGTCCCGTGCCATGTCCACCAGTCCACCGCCGTCATCTTGCCCTCCTTCACTGCCTAGCGGTCGGCAATAGCGTCGGGCATGCCGAAGCTGCCTTGGAGGTTCAGGAAGGCATTGAGGCCTTCCTGGATGACGAGAGAGGCGCGGCGCTCGACCCCGTCCTTCCTGGTGACCGTCTTGTCACCATGGTGCTTGGAGACGTACTGCTTGAAGACCCTCGTGCACTCCAGGTCGGTGCGGAAAATGCACTCTTCCTGGTTGGTGGGGTAGAGGATGCGGCCAATCACGTGCAGGTTGCACGCCAGCCCGTTGTCCCAGCGGTCCTGCACGATCTCCCGAATATCCCCCACCTCGTCGCTTGTCAGGACCCCTTCCGCATGCTCGTCGAGGAAGTCGCGGATGTCCTCGGTGAGCTGGAGCATGAGGTCGTAGAGACGACCCATCATGCCCTTCGAATCCGAGTCAGTCTTGCGCATGACGACGAATGGCAGCCTCATCAGCTTAGCGAAGAACTCGGCGTGCGTCCACCACGCGGCATCGAGGATGTTGTCTTTGAATGTGTCTGCCCCAGCCCTGTCAGCAGCCGCAGTCCACTCGACCCACTCATCGCTGAGGACCATCTGCGTCAGGCCAGCGCGCACTTCACAGAGGCGGTTGATGGCGGTGTAGTTGGTGCCGAATCGGGTTCCCGCGGGCTTGAGAACCTGTTTCCCCTTGCCGCTGTTCACGAGCGGACTCCGCATGTATCCCCGGGTGAAATGATAGTTGCGGACGAACGAGATGAGGGTGTCCCCGCGCGTGATGATGTCCTTCGCCTATCCTTTTTTCCCGATGTCCTCCATCAGGAGATCGAGGACATGGGTCGCGCAAGGGATGTGTTCAATGTGGGGATACTCGCGCATCAACACCCTGCATGCCGCCGCGTAGTTGGAGCCGCCGTCAAAACACAAGGCGACGACATTCTCGGGGCCGACCTTTTCGATGATGGGCCGCAAGATGCCCGCGATGTAGCCCCCGGTCTTCATCTCCATGTTCGTGTCGATCGACTCCACAAACACCGCACCGCTATCGTTGATGAGGAGCACGTTGGCTTGCGGGCGGCCGGCCTTGTCGGAGAACATGTCGCTTGCCACGGTGACACCGTCACGGCGCCAGCTTGCTGAGATAGGAGCGAGCGCCGCCTCAATGCGCTGGCGACACTTTGCAAGACCGGCGCCACCGATGTAGCGTCTCTTCGGCGCGACGTAATTCGGCTCCGCGCGCTGGATGCTGGAGACCACATTCCGCCACAGTCGGTGGTCCGCGTGATGCTCCGGCACATGAAGAGCGGCAAAGAAGAGGCTTATGGCCTCGTCCGCAGCTTGGTTCGCGCACGCGGCGTCGTCGCCGTAGAAGTCGGTCATCCGACTCTTCTTCTTGTCCGAACCTCTGCCGTTGACTGCGCCGACCGCCGCAATTTCAGCCGCACGCTTCGCTTCACGGGCCTTCAACTTGGACTCGTAAAGCGCCTTCACGGCGTCACGTGCAGTCTTCGGCGCTGCAGTGCAGAGATGCACTTCGCGACGGCGCATGCCGTTCCAGCTGGTGATATGCTGCGCGCAACGGTGAACCCCGCCAACAAACGTGAAGTTGCAGTAGGCACACACCTTGGTGCCGTTCTCGCCAACGCTATTGGCCGGCACCTTGAAGTGACGGTAGACTGCGTGCTTGCTGTCCATGCAGACCAAAGACGTACTAGAAGAGGTCCCACCAGCGGAACTACCAGGAGACTCTGAGGGTGGCGTACGAGAAGTGGTTGCTGTAGGAGTGGAAGCCATGGTGGCTTGGGAAAGGAGATAGCTAGAATAGGAAGCGAGAGAATGAATGTCGAGGGAACAAACGCCTCTCTTTATGCCTGGGAGATTGGGTTGGGTTGAGCTCCCAACCAGTAAAGTAGCACTTGGAGGGGATGGTGGAATGTTGTGGTTCAAAGGGGTGTGAAACGTTTGAGGGGAGGGGTTGATGAGGTTTGGTGCTCGAAATTCAAATTTTGAGTTCATTTCGCGACATCTGCGACTCGGAATTGAGATCGCCACGTCGCGAGCTTCAGATTGAAATTTTGTTTTTTTTTTCGGTCTGCCCGAAATTCAACTCGGCGAATTTTCAAACTATACGCAACGTACGAATTCGACAAGCGTATAAACGCAAAACGCAAAATGAAAGTAGCGTATATTCCAACTTAGATGGAGAGGAGGGCAGGTACGCTTCTTGCCACCTCACTACACCTCACTGCACCTCTGCCCACCAGTCCTTCCTCCAACCAACCCTTCCTCTCTTAGTCTAGCGACAGCACTGATCGGCTGCGCTGCCATCCGAATGGCTGCTCAGCCTGACACTGCACTGCTCTACAGCCATTCGGATGGCAGCACAGCCCAAGAGACAGAGTAGCTGCAGCAGCAATCACGGCGGCGGGGTGGCAGCAGGGGCGGCTAAAACACCAGCAGCAGCAGCAGCAGCAGCAGATGCCCTTGCTCTCCATAAACATTGTTCCCCATCATCCCCTCACCTGGGGTCACTTCCTTGCAGCCGTTCGGGCGGCAGCAGCAGCAGAAAGTTCCGAAAGTCCCCATAGGTTACGTGGCCCGAATCGTCTGCATCTAGGAACCGCATCATTGCCCGCACGTTGCTTTCTGTTGCTGGCAGCCCGGCCTTCTCCAGTGACGCGAACACCTGGCGGGGAGAGTTGGGGGGGAAGGGAGAGGAAGGGAGGGAATAGTAAGGTAAGTCCCCATAGGTGATGTGACGTGCCCGGACTCGTCTGCGTTAAGAAACCGCATCGTGGCCCGCACGTTGCTCTCTGTTGCTAGCAGCCCGGCTTTTTCCAGTGAAGCAAACAGCTGGTGGCAGGAAAGGAGAGGACGGAGGGAGGGAGGAGAAGGAAGGGGAAGGGAGAGGAGGGACAGGAGAGGAGTGAGGGAAGAGGAGTGAGGGAAGAGGAGTGAGGGAAGAGGAGTGAGGGAAGAGGAACACAAGACCCCACAGGACATGCGTTCAGAAACCGCATCATAGCTCGCACGTTGCTCTCTCGCTGCATGCTCTTGCGCCCTCTGCAGCGTGCCTCTGCATGGAGGGTACTTTCGCCTCCATGAACGTCTGAAATTGTCGTTTCATTATTGGTGAGTCTGAGCTTGCGGTTTCTTTAACGCTTCAACAGTCAATGCCCACCCCACGCACCTGTCCCTTCTGCAGCATCCCTGCCGACACCACACACAGCTAAGTAAAAGCCTGGAACATCGCCGGCTCCTTGGCCTCCATGAACGTCTGGAACTCCTCCCACCCGAACTAATCTTGACTCGAGCGTCTTCACGCACCCCTCCTCCCACAGGTCAGCCACGCCACGAGCCATCCCTCCCAATGCTCCACTCACCTGGCCTTTCTGCAGCGTGCCTGACGACCCCACACACAGCGACGTGAACGCTCGCAGCATGGCGGGCTCCTTAGCCTCCGTGAACGACTGGAACTCCTCCCAACCGAAGGAAGAGGCCAGCCAGTGGCGTGTGACCATGTAACCATGCCATGGACCCCCTCTCTCTCACTGCACGCACCTGTCCCTTCTGAAGCATCCCAGGCGATCCCACACATAAAGAGGTGAACGCTCGCAGCATGGTGGGCTCTTTGGCCTCCATGAACGACTGGAACTCCTCCCTCCCAGTTGACCCGTTTGACCAGTCACAGCCCACGCACCTGTCCTTTTTGGAGCGTCCCAGAGGACCCGACGCATAAAGAAGTGAACGCTCGCAGCATGGCGGGTTCTTTCGCCTCCATGAACGACTGGAACTCCTCCCACCCGAAGGAAGAGGCCAGCCAGTGGCGCCGGAGGCGGCGGAGCAGCGGGCGGGCGTGCGCTGCTGGCAGGCGGCGTCTTTTGAGCGCCCTTTCGAGGTCCTCCAGCTTCACCTGCCCGTCCCCGTCCTTGTCCAACTCGGCAAAGAGCCGCCGGCCTGATGGGGGGGGATTTGAGGTGGGGAAGGGAATGGCGGAATATAGTAGGGAGGAAGAGGTGGGGGATCGTTGAAGACTGTCAGTCAAGGCAGCAGCTTGAAGGCCCCCTCCAGGTCCTCCAGCTTCACCTGCCCGTCCCCGTCCTTGTCCAACTCGGCAAACAGGCGCCGGCCTGATGGGTGAGGCGGGTGGGGGGGAATTGGGGAGGTTGGGATTGGAGGCTGGGGGACGACAAGCAGGCGCCGGCGCTTCAGCTCTCTTTCGAGATCCTCCAGCTTCACCTGCCCGTCCCGTCCTTGTCTAGCTCGGCAAAGAGCCGCCGGCCTGATGGGCGAGGGGGCTGGGAGGGAAAGGGGAGGTTGGGATTGGAGGGATGGGGGCGGAGGCCATCAGGACATGACAACGCGGCTACAGCGCCCTCTCAAGTTCCTCTAGCTGCACCTACCCGCCCCCGCCCTTGCCCAACTCTGAGAACAGTCGACGGCCTGATGGGGGGTTGGTGGAACAAGGAATTTGGGCTTGTGCAAGTTGTTTCTGGCTGAGAATTCTTCCCAAGAGAATTTCCTTAGAAGCAAGGAAGAACAAACAGAAAGAGAAACAGCAACTACTCTCTAATTCCTATGAATGCATTTTTATATGTACAGTACATTTACAATTCAGACATGCGGCTCGGAATGTCGATTTGGGTGGCCAGCCCCAACATCGAGCCGCATTCCATATTTCTACTCACGTTTGTACACCTCACTGCACCCACACACGTGTTACATTTCTATTCCTCCAAGCCTGGACTTTCGCCAACTGTCCCACGCGGAAGTCCCCCCAAGTCAGTCAAGGCACGAAACCTCGGTTTCGCCCTTCTCACGTGGGTCCCCCACGTCCTGCTCACTTCCGTCCCTTTGCTGCCCACGTTCGCAGTTGCACGCTGCTGCTGCATGCTTTCGCCTCCCGTGCGCTTCACGCTGCCTCTAGTGCAGCCCCCACTTGTTACAGTTGGGTTGGGGGGTTGGGGTGGCGGGAGGGGAGGGGAGGGCTCCAGTTGCACCTGCCCGTCCCCGCCCTTGTCCAACTCTGGGCTCCCGTGAACAAGCGAGGTCCCTATGGGTTGAGGAAGGGAGGGGGGTCGCCGAGGGGAAGAGAGACGAAAGGGGGGAGGGGCTGAAGGGGGTGGAATGGGGGGGGGGGGGGGGGGGGGGGGGGGGTGGGGTGTTTGGTTTGTTGGGAATGCACACCGAGAGCAACAGCTTCAGCTTGTTGAGCGTCCCGTTTTGAGGTTTCCTTGCTCGCCCTTCCGCCATTGATCCCTCTGTTAGCTCGTCTCGTCTTGCACGGACGACAACAGATTCTGCTTGTTGGGTAATCATTATTAGGGTTAACCACCCACTCGCTCACCTTCCGCCTCCGCGTATTGGAAAAAGTCTTGCACGGACGACAGCTTCTGCTTGTTCGGGTACCGCCGCGCTCCGCGCGCGCTCCCCTCCGCCCACCCGCCGATCCCCCCGCGCGCCTTGCTCCACTGCTGGATCTCCTCGAGAAGCTCCCGAAACGGCACGTGCGACAGCGTGTGCTGCACACGCGCCTCCAGCGCCGGCCGAAGCTTCTCGATGTCCGGACGAAGCTTCGTCAGGTCCGGTAGGTTCGGCGGGAGCTCGACCCGCCACCCCGCGAGCTTCGACCAGGTTACGACTCTCGGACCGGGAATCACGGCGGAAGGACCGGCATCGCCGGCCGGACCTGGGATAAGTTCCACACTGGGGTCCTTCCGCGAACCTGCGTCGACGACGGTGATGACGTCAGCGGGAGTAGCCAGGGTCGAGTCGGCGGCGGGGACTAAGAGAAGCCGTTGGCGCGGCAGCAGGATCAGCGCCTTGGAGCCCGCCGCGGAAGGCGCCGAATATGGCGCTGCGGCGGACGGCGACGCGGCGGACGGCGACGCGGCGTCCCCTTGAAAGGCGGACGAGGCGGAGGCGGAAGGGGGGGAGGCGGAGGCGGAGGCGGGGGAAGCAGCGGAGTCGGCGGAAGCAGCGGAGGACTCGGAAGACGAGCCCCCAGGGATAGGGAGAGCGGCGAAGGGATTGGAGAAACGCGGGGTTTGAAGCATTTTAGCAAAAGGCAAGTGCCGACGCGCTGCGGTTCCTAGGGGACCAGCATCTGAATGGGAGGAAGACGAAGGGCAAGGAGAAGAAGACGACGCGGCAGCCATGGAATAGGAACTAAGGGGATCACCCTGTATTCTGGCTAGTAGCCGCTCTTGCTGCTGTAGCAGCTCCTGTAGCCACGCCGGCAACTGTAGCGGTTGTAGCGAATGCGGCGAGTCACGAGCCGAGATGTTACGCTTACGAGCTTCGCTACAACCGGCGGCGTTTACGCGAAGACCGACCGTTATAGCCGCTCCTTGCTTCCCGCCGTCAGCGGCATCGCCCGCGAAGGGCGGCGGCAGCGGAAGTCGCATTCTACCGCGACAAACGTTTTTAAGCGTCAGATCTTAGACGTCTTGTCCCCCGCGGGTACTATTTTTCACGCGCCTCGGGAGCAAACTTCGCCCACGGCTCTACGAGCGACCACTTGCTCTACAGCACTGACGTAGTGGGAAACACAGTTCTTGAGGCAGCTATGGGTGCGGATATTCAATACTCCGGCCGCACCAGTGAGGCATGGATTCTCAAATATTCGCTGTGCTTTGCTGCCCTTTGCGCATATGAAACTTCTCTGTGGAGGCACCCCTTGCTGGAGGTTTGTTGTTCGGTTCGGAATTTTGGTTTGATCAACCTCCCGAAATCGTCAGCGCAGTCACACACGTGGCGGCTGCTCTGTGGTTGTGGAATGATTTGGTTTGGGAAAGCAAACAAACGAGTGGCCCTTTATCGGGGTTGGCTTGACTGTTTGGCAAGACACGGCGGAATGACGTGTCCACACATCTGATTTTGGATGTCGGTACGGCACGTGTGCCACGTAAAAGAGCACACTTGAAGAAGGAATATGCCGATTATGAAATTCATGCTTTTGATTTAATTATTTAATAAACAACCATAGACATCCGTTGTAGTCTAGTCGGTTAGGATATTCGGCTCTCACCCGAAAGACCCGGGTTCAAGTCCCGGCAACGGAATTTTTGTTTTCCATTTGCCCTCAGATTTTCCCCGCTGCCAAGGTGGCATTTCACGTGGCTTTCATGGCGCCCTCCCAGGAAATACTTCGGCAAGCCCAGTGCCTATGGTGCCACGCTTTGTGCGTCGTCAAAGCGACGACGGAATTTTGCCTGCCAGCTGTCTTCACTCGCGGTCCCACCGTTCGGAAGGTGCACTCACGCATGGCTCTCGTCGCGCGAGCATCCTGGCGCACTTTGCGGGGGCCTGACACTCTGAACTATGGCCCCAGCAGCATGAAATCCCGGCAGCAGGCCCTTCCAGCTCGTTATTCCTCACTCTCGCTAAAATAACAGGAGACTGCCGATCAGAGATCCTAAACCTAGAGTCTCTCCATTCTCTATTTGAATCTCGGAAGTCGGCGGGTCGCCGCGTTCCGTCCCTCCAACTCTCTCCGATCAGATCGCTGCGTTAGCTTTCGCCGGAATCATGCCTGCGCATGTAAGTTACTACCGTCGACTCGCCAGTCCCTTCTGTACCATTTCCATTCTACTCGCTTTCACTTCCGCTCCTTCCGTCCTTGCTGGCCCTGAATTCCCTCGCTATCTCGATTTCTCCGCTGCTCGCTATTTTTCTCTTCACCTAATTTTAACTTCTAAGGAAAAAAATGCCCCCATTTCAATCTCTTCTGTCACAACGACTCTCCGCCGCAGCAATCCGAGCGCGACCCGCGCGGAGGCTCGGGGGAGAAGCCAGATGCGCTGGAGCGGATCTCGAGGGAGGCTCGGGAATACCGCGTTCCCGTGCCTGACAACGTGCCTGTGCCTCTGGTTCAGCGCATTCGGAGTCTGGAGCTGAAACAGGTATGCGTGGAGATGAAACAGGTACGCTTGGAGATGAAACAGGTACGCTTTGAAATGAAACAGACCGTGTAGGGTTGGACTGGTTATGCTGGTAATGGCCTGGTTTGGATCAGATCATAACTCTTGAAACTGCAAGAGTATAATTACCAGTAATGCCAGATCAGCTGTCTCTGTGCTGCTTCCTAAGATGTATGCAACACCCATCAGCAATTCCCGTCATCAACTCACAGGAGCACTCTGACAGGAGCCTATATCTGTAGTCGTCTTTGCGCTTCACTCTCTTCCTCTCTGTCTTTGCAACTCCCTTCTCCTGCTTTTATGTGGAATGCTGGCAGCCGTTGCGGTGGTGGGTGCATGCCAGCTTAACCACTCTCTGCTCTTCGTCTTTGCAATCCCCATGTGCAGTTCCTATGCGGAGTGCTGGCAGGGGGGGGGGTGGGCGCATGCACTGTTCCCTCCCTTCAAGGCTAGCCTTTCTGCCACCTATTCTTCCTTCTTTTTGCGCACCTACACGCTCTCCTCGCACTCTCTTCTCCCGTCTCTGCAATGCCTTTGTGCAGTTCCTATGCGGAGTGCTGGCAGGGGGGGTGGTGGGAGCATGCACTGGTCCCTTAAAGAACCTTCAAACGAGGGTGATTGCACAGAAGGGCGGCAGAACGGCTGCTGAGGTGGCATCCACAGCGGTGCATAACCGGGCTTTAAGGGACAGCATTCTGTCTGCGGGGCTCAAGATGCCCATCATCATGACGGCGCTGAACAGAGGCATTCAGGTGGGCTTTCAGGGACAGCATTCTGTTAACATCCATGCATGCTTTTGCGGACCCATGCGGATCCACGCAATCAATGTGAACAACGGGTCAGCATGATATCTTAGGTAGGTACATGGTAATACACCACGGCACATGGCTTACTTACAGGTGATCACACGGTGGTGTTTGCATCCATGCACGTTCCATATTACTCCTCACGGCCCCCATCCATTTCTGTATTCCCCTCTCTCCCCTCGTTCCCTCTTGGCCTTCTCCCCTGATTCCCCATCCATTCAGTTCTACACATTTGAGACCGTCAAGGCCTGGCTGTTACGAGCCAATCAGAAGCACCCAAAAACTTTTCAGCTGCCCGAGTCGGTACCTCCCAGCTCAGTGGCAGGGGGAGCAGCAGGCCTGGCTGCCACTCTCCTCCTCTACCCCTTCTCTGCTGTCGGCGACCACATGAGTCTGCAGGTGAGTCTTCAGGTAAACCTTCAGGTGTCTTCAGGTGCCGTCAGGTGAGGTAAGGCCATACGAGTATGGCAGGGTATATTTCTGCTTTCCAATCTCTTTTCATACCATTGTCTGCTATCGGCGACCACATGAGCCTGGCGGCAAACTTTCAGGTGGCTTCAGGTGAGGTAGGAGTTACGCATGGCAAGGTATCCTACTAGCTGCCACTCTCCTCCTTTACCCCTTCTCTGCTGTCGGCAACAGGTGCCTTCAGGTAGCATTAGGTGTCTTCAGGTGTCGTCAGGTGCCTTTTGCTAAGGTGGGGGTATGGCAGGATATGTACGTTACTGTTCGCCTTCCTCTGTTGGCCTTCGTCCCACACCATTTCATTTTTCTCCTCTGCATTCCCCTCCTGCAATGTCTCTCTGTTCCCCGGCAGTCGGGAATTACTCGGGTCTGCGCCAGGCCCTGGTGGGGGTGGCACAGCAGCACGGCACCTCACACCCGTACACACATGTTCCACTCCCATTTTTACTACAATATATTACAATATTGCAGCCGGAAAGTACCCTGGTCTGCGGCAGGCCCTGGTGGGGGTGGCACAGCAGCACGGCACCTCACACCCGTACACACATGTTCCACTCCCATTTTTACTACAATATATTACAATATTGCAGCCGGAAAGTACCCTGGTCTGCGGCAGTCCCTGGTGGGGGTGGCACAGCAGCACAGCGCCTCACAGTTGTTCTGAGCCCGTGTTCTGCTTCTTGTTGCTTCCTTATTCTGCAGCCGGGGAAATATGCGGGTCTGCGCCAATCCCTGGTGGGAGTGGCACAGTAGCTCGGCGACTCACAGCTGTTTACACATTTTCACCTTCCATTCTCCTTACAATCTCTCTCCCATACTCCCGTTTTCAGCCAGGAAAGTACCCTGGTCTGCGTCAGGCCCTGCTGGGGGTGGCACAGCAGCACGGCGCCTCACAGCTGTTCCGAGGGGTGGTGCCGAAGCTGGCCTCCATGGTCCCCGCCTCTGCCATCAACTTCCTTGTCTTCGAATCACTGAAAGATGAAATCAAGGTGAGGTCAGATGCATACATGTTTTTGCGCTATGCCCTCAAACACTCCCGCTCTATCCCCCTCGTTTTTGTGTCAAAGCTGGCCTGGCCTCCATGGTACCCGCATCTGCCATCAACTTTCTTGTCTTTGACTCGCTCAAGCAGGAGATCAAGGTGAGATGCTTGGCATGCATGTTGCCCTATCAAGGTGAGATGCTTGGCATGCATGTTGCCCTATGCCCACACACACACACTCTATACAATGCCCTGTTGCCATACCCCTTTTCCCCCCATTCAACAGAGACGGAGGTATGGCAGAGACCCATCTGCAGCGCACACGCTCATTTCCGGCGCCATTGCAGGAGTAGCATTCACTATAGTCACACGCCCTTGGTCACACACCCCTTCGAGCTGACATGATCCCGACACCCATGACACTTTCTAACAATCCCCTGTCACCGCTGTGATCCTTTTTTGTTTCATATCAATCAGAGACAAAGAAACGGCAAAGACCCGTCTGCAGCGCACACACTCGTTGCCGGTGCCATCGCAGGAGCAGCCTCCAATATAGTCACACACCCTTGGTCACACACTGGTTCGAGTTGATAGGATCGAACACCATGCCACTTGCTAACAATGCCCTGTCTCCACTGTGATCCTTTTTTGTTTCCCATAAATCAGAGACGGAGGAATGGCAAAGACCCTTCGGCAGCGCATATACTCGTCGCCGGCGCCATCGCAGGAGCAGCATCCACTATAGTCACACACCCGTTCGAGCTCTGCCGGCGCGAGATCAACATGAGCTTGCTGCCAAAGCACGCCACCCCCACGGGCGGGCACCTAGAGTACAACTCTCTTCGGCATGCAATGAGGGGGATACTGAGGAAGGAGGGGGTGAGGGGGCTGTACAGAGGGGTGCTGCCGAGCCTCATTGAGCTTGTGCCTGCCACGGCGATTGGGTTTATGGTGTATGAGATGGGGAAGAGGGTGATGGTGGCTGAGGGGCAGGAGAGGAGGGATGAGGTGAAGGGGTGATGGGGGTGAGACGGGGGTTGCGGGGCTATGTTGAGTTGCTACTGAAACTTGAACTGGTGCCTGCCATTGCGATTGGGTTCTTGGTGTATGAGACGGGGAAGAGAGTGATGGTGGCCGAGGGGCAGGAGGGGAGGGATGAGGTGAAGGGCTGAGGCATGGAAGGATGAGTGTGGATGAGGATGGAGAGTTGGGCTTCCTTGCTAGTTTTAGAATACTTATGAAGGAGATACGTACGTATGTAAATTTTCTATTTGTAAATATGATGTGTGTATCAACGTGCTGCATATGCAACCATTTGCCTGTACAGTTTGTGGACCAATTTTTGTAAGCAGATTCTTGCAAATATACGTAAATTTACAGTGTCACTTAAATGGAAACAAAGCGTATAACAAGTTTCACCCTAAACGCTTGCAACCATTGATTCTGCCCACACTTGGCAGACCTTCAGCCATTCCCCGACTTCTAATCCCGCAGTACCTCGATCCGACATGTCGTATCCCGAAATCTGCTGGGCTAGAGCGTAGGTTCGGCTGTAGGTTCGGTTGATCGAGCCTGTTGCCTAAAGTCTCGCCCCCTCCTCATACCGATTGTGGCGGACCTTGGGAGCACCACACGCACCACCTACGCTCCTACAGTCGAGAGAGCTCGCACCGAATCGTCGGTACGCGGGGCGGGACTGACCCGGAACAGTGATGCGACGCTTTAGGCCAGCCAGCGACGTCGCTCGGATTCCGCAGGCGATGCGGATTCGCTCGCAGTGGTCATCGGTGCCTCACAACCTTCGCAATTGCGAGCCTCACACCCTCGGCGATTCCGAGCCTCACACCCCTCCGTGACTTTCGTGGCACCCCCATTCAAGTTTCACGCACACTACATCGTCTCGTGGAATCCCAGCAGCCACTGATGCACCAGCAAAACAACTATAAAGCAAGCAGGGGTTCGTATTCTCATTCACCAGTCTGCACTAATCCGGTTGCTGCGAAATCTTATAATCAGCCTTCGACTTCCTACGTCGTCTGCTCTTAAGGCCATGGTTACTTTCTGAATCTTCTCGAGTGCTCCTTGAAACTCCTTAGATCTCTTCACTAAAGCTAGTTCGTTTCCGCTACTTCATTCGTCAGCGAAATGGCCTGCGTTGGTGCTGCGAGTGCCTTCGTGGACGTCGACGCTCTCTTCTCGAATCACTGGGAGCAGGATGACTCTCTGACTCGTTATGTCTCCAGCCTGATCTCCCTTCCACGCCTGGTAAGAACAATGTCTACCTTCTCCTTTGCGCTTCTGTGCGTATTATTACGCCGACGCCTCCTTGTCACAGATTATCTTAATACCGTATCACCCCGGATATAAGCGCAGGCCTATGTTAAGCGCATGCGCTTATATCTGGAGCAATGCGCTTATGGCCGATCCTCAATTATAAGCGCACCCCTTATAAAACCCTGATTTATTATAAGCGCATGTATAAACATATTAAAAAAAAACGGATTAAAACAGTAACGACTTCCCGATTTGAAGCGAGTCCACATCCACTTCTACTCTGTTTGACTCCCTCGAGGGCGGGCTCGCTCAGGAAAAGCGCAACAGCGCGAAGTTGACCTGACAGGGGGGCTCGGGAACACCTGTTGTCTGTGCGCTGCGAGCGAGCAACTGCAGGCTATTGGTCGTACACTGGGGCAAGCCTGTGCGATGCGAACGAGCGACTGCAAGCTATTGGTTTCTACACTCTGCTGGGGCGAGCATGACACATTCCTATGCGAAAGTGACGTGTCCTTGCCCTTGTGCGCCGGCAGAGAATCGCCTTCGCTCGATTCTGATTCAGAATGCTCCACACATTTCGATTTGAATGAAATTGCAAGACTCTAATGCACAGTTTGGTGCGTTTATAACATATTTCTGTGTTTGTTATTATATAAGCGCATGCGCATATAATTTTGACTCATTTATAAGCGCACCCCCCTAAAAAACACTGTTTTGTTATAAGCGCAGATGCGCTTCTATCCGGGGTATTACGGTATCTTGAGCAAAAACTAAAGTTGTTCACTTGAATCTTTGCAGGTCGACGACAATGGACCAGCTCAAGCAATCAAGTTGCAGCAAAGGCTGTTGCTGTTGTGGATGAGCCTCCTGCTTGTCAGAGGTCCACTGGTGATCCCCGATCGATCCTATGGAAGGGTTACAGGCTCGTTGTCTTGGGGGATTATGGGCGCAGTGACCCGCTACTTAACAAGCCCTTTTATCCCAATGGTTTAGTGGTTGGGATTCTCACATGTTATCAGTGCTTGTTAGATCTTGGCATGTGGGCCCATGCTTCCGCTGCTTGACTGTCATGCCTATCGTGTATCCCGGGCGCGAGGCGTTTTCTGCTTGCCGCGCGCTCGGGGCGCGCGCGGCGTTTTTTCTTCCCGCCGCGCGGCGCCCTGCCCCGCAGGACCCGCGCGCTCCCCCGCGGGACCCGCGCGTCGCCCCCGCTGGACCCGTGCGACGCCCTACGGGGCTCGCGCGCTGCCCCGCTGGACCCGCGCGACGCCATGCGGGACCCGCGCGTCGCCCCCGCTGGACCTGCGCAACGACCTGCGGGGCGCGCGCTGCCCCGCGGGACCCACGCGCCGCCCCTGCTGGACCAGCGCGCTGCCCCCGCTGGACCCGCGCGTCGCCCCTCCTGGACCCACCTGTTGGGCTGAGAAAATAGCCCTTAGGATCTTTGCAGAGAAGAACTCTTGGGTAGAAACTTGTAATAGCGGAAGCGTTTTAATGAAGATTGTGAACCGACCTTGCACTGGTGTGTGAGAGCAAAGTGGATTAAATTAAACAAGCAAATACAAGGATTTATATAAGAGTACAGGGAATACGAATAGACAGACAGATAACTGTATTGCTGTTGCGGTTCGATATAGTGCGACTCGGGCAACTGCTCTGTAACGAGTCAGTTGTGTGTCCTTAACTGTCGCGCTGTAAATGTTGAGTCAAAGGTCGCTGACCTTTGACTTTCTCGTAACCTCCAGGCGGTTACCCTAACCTCCGAGGTTGACTTGATGCTTCGATTGGGACTGCTTCACTTGGTGCCTTGGATTTTGACACGACAGAAGCGCACTTAAGACTTATTGTTTCCAACACTCCCCTTCGCTTCTGGAGTGTCGCTGCTGGTGACGTGGCCTTGTCCAGTCAGCAGCATGCAGTATTCGAACTTCTGCTTCCCGAGCTTCTTGGTCAAGTAATCGGCTGCCATCTCAGACGTAGGACAGTATGACAGATTGAGTTTCCCCTTTTCGATCTCGTCCTTCACGAAGAAGTAGCGCAGGGCGATGTGTTTCGTCCTGTTTGCGAAGCCGTTCTTGTTGGCGATGCGAATTGCCGACTGGTTGTCGCAGAACACGGTGAAGCTGGGTAACTCGGCTAGCTTCGCTTCTTCCAGTAGTTCGCGAAGGTAAAGTCCCTCCTTGGTGGCTGAGCAGAGTGCAATATATTCTGCTTCTGCTGAAGATAATGCGATTAACTCCTGCTTGCTCGACTGCCAGGAGATAGGACCGATAGGCTCAAGGCGGTAGACATAGCTGGTGCGTGAGCGCCTGTTGTCGGTGTCGCCGGCGTGATCGGCGTCGACGTAGCCGATTAGCTTGGTCGGTGTAGTCACGTTTTTGTGATAAGTTAGTCCGATCGTCGCGGTGCTGACGAAGTAGTGGAGAGCACGATCGAGTTCCGCCAGATGCTCTGCTTCAGGTCTCTTGAGATAGGTAGCGAGCTGACTCGCGGAGTAGGATAGGTCGGGACGGCAGGTGACTGCTGCGAAGAGAAGGCATCCGAGCTTCTCCTGATAGTCGCGTATGCCAGCGGGTTTGAGTAGAGTAGATTGCCCCTTTTCGGTTCCTGACGCGTAGCGGTAAGGCGTGGAGATGGCGCTTGGTGTGAGACGAAAGCGTTTCGCGATAGTGTCGGCGTACTTCTCGGCGCTTAGGTAGATTGCGTTTTCTTCCTCACGGATGTTGAGCCCGAGGTATTGCGTAACCGTAGAAGAGACCGTGAGCGTGAGGTCTTTCTGGAGTTCCCCTTCGAACCACGCGGCGATGTCGTCGGTTGACCCAATGTAGAGGAGATCGTCCACGTAGACGATTAGTAGGACGTAATCGCCTCCTTTTGTGAGGCGATACATGCCCTGGTCATGCGGGAGTTGCTTGAAGCCGATGCGGATGAGGCGGGCGTGTAGGTACTGCTGCCACAGTCGCGGTGCCTGCTTGATCCCATAGAGTGATTTGAGCAGTTGACACACTCGGTTAGGTTCACCATGGGAGCCGTGTGGGAGTTCGACGAAGATTTCTGCATCCACAGGTGCGTAGAGGAATGCGTTCGCAACGTCGATTTGTCGCAGTTTCTTTTTCTTCATGGCGGCGACGGCGATGAGAATTCGGAGTGAGGTGTGACGGCTGACCGGAGCGAAGGTTTTGGTGTAGTCTCTTCCGTGCTCTTGGTCGAAGCCACGTACGACCCAGCGGGCTTTGAACTTGTCGATGGTGCCGTCAGCTTTCGTCTTCACACGGAAGACCCACTTCCCGGTAAGAATGGTTTTGTTTTGGGCTGCGCCGATTGGAACGACTTTCCAGGTGTTGCGCTCCTCCAGTGCCTTCAGTTCTTTGTCCATGGCTTCATGCCATTTTTCCCTGTGTTCCCCCCCCAGAGCCTGCTGAACCGTCGCAGGCTCTTTAGGAATGCCGGCGCCATGGACTGCGGTGACGAGACCAAGGATTTGCAGCCCAGTCTGTGAGTATCGAGGGAGTTCTGGATCCTCGGGATAAGCTGCTTCGTCTCCCGCTTCTAGGTCGGGCATGAAATTTGGCCCTACCCTTTCTGCTTTGTTGGTGTTGACTGTCACAGGTGTAACGTAACCATCGTCGGCGAAACGGTAGAAGACTTCGGCGTTGTTACTGTCGCGAGGATTGTCCTCATCCATGGGCACGTTGACGAAGCAGTATGGGAGAGGTCCGGCTTCCTCCGAGGCGTTGTCGACGTTC